TATGCCAATGGAAGTCAGGCTAAATCTAGTCTCTAGCATGTAGAGCGTAAGGTAAGCATTTGGAAAGGAGAAAAACCTGCTCCTTTAAGGCAAAGTGCTATCTTTTAGATCTGCATTCCTGGGCTACCTGCCCTGTGTTGAATGATATCGAACTGTCCAGTTCAAGCTGTGGTTTGCTCTAAGCTTTTACTGGGAGGTAAAATCATGTTTGTGACATACCTTACACACAGCTTAGTGTCTGTGTTTTTAAAACACTGCAGGCTCTCTCTAGTCTTGCACATCTTGCTTCATAGCTACCCTTTTGAACTTGCTGCTTCCAACTGCCAGCATCATTTGGTGGCTTTGCTAGTCGTCTTTCATATTTCTGTGATCACTGAGAATAATTACATGACGTCAGACAAAAAGTTTGTTCCACTTGATACCCTGCCTGCCCGACTAGCAAGAAGCAAGCATACCGTGATGCTTCCCTGTGGATATCCTCCCTTCTTTCAGTTGTCTGAAGCTTAGAGCCTTCCCATGCTAATGGTTTTGCCTGCCTCTCTGTGTGTTTTGGCCTTTGTTTTTTCTACAGTCAACTTGTCTAATTTTTAATCCTCTGGTGACAATGAGCTCCCCAGTCTGAGCGTGTAGCGAACAGCACCCTTTCTTTTTTCTAGAATTCAAAGGATGCATTTTGTAGCCACTGCTTCTTGTGGTGTCTGTGGTTAGTATGAGCCATTACTGTCACTTCCTGGTGTGTATCTGTTGATCTGTCCTCCAAAGATGGGAGGAGGACCTGTTGCTTGATGCTGTTTGCTCATTTCTCCCACTCCTTTTAAGGTTGTTTCACTCTGCTGGTCAGGTTAAAGGCCTGATTATAAAAAGATACTTGATTTTTTGATATTGTATGGTATGTATAATTTGCAAGATGTGAGTGTGGTGCCTCATGGCAAAATATCTTTGCTAAACTCTACTATAATTGCGTGTTCTTGTTGCCAAATGACCTGGCAGTTTGTATCTTTTGATAATGTGCTTCCCTGTATGTGGGAATGCTACTGATTTCTCTGGCATTACCAGGTGAACGGGACTCAGAGCGCGCTGTGTAAGTATTCAAAAACGTGCTTTCCCTCGTGGGATGTGGAGTTGGTCTGGGTGGCTGAATGTTTTGGGTTTGATTTTTTTTTTTTCTTCTTTTTTTTTTTTTCTACCAAAGCCAGAAAGACAGACCTTTTGGACAGGGCTGATACTTGCATTGCAGAATGGTGGCATTCAGCTTCCCGTGCCAGCAGGGATGAGCTTGTCTTTTGGCTCACTCTCAGCTGGTATTGCCCTACCCCTTCCTATACCCTGTCCCCTGCCAGGCCTTTCCGAGGGAGCCAGGAGCTTGTTACCTGCATAGGCTCTGATTCAAGCAAGCATGTAAGCACATGCTTGAATCCCATTGATGTCAGTGAGACTTCAGCATGTTATTAAAATTAAACATACGCTTAAGGGGTTTGCTGAAGTGTGGCTTAGATGTAGATGCTGTCTGCCAGATGCGCTCTTGGAAGACTTGGAAGTCTCCCTGGTGTTGTCACATTTACAAGCTAGAAAAGGAAGCCTACTGGACACGTGTAATATGTCCTTATGTGTTCAGAAGGAAGGCACTTCAGGGAGAAGTGATCTGAAATAACCCAACTGCTGTGTAAATGCAGCCAGATCCTTGCTAGAAATGGGCAGCTTTGCTGAAAGGAAGATTTTCAGGGGCATAAATCCTGCACCTTTACAACTTTTCTTGCTGACCTTATGATGTGCAAAACACATATGACCTTTGTTGCTATTTGTACCCTCGCTTGTTTTGTGAAAAATTACAACTGTATTTTTACCCCTTGTGCCTGGAATTGGTTCATAGGCTTTTAAAAAAAAGGTTTTGTCTCTTGTACTTGCATCATACCTGCAACTTAATGTGCATGGTAAACTATATGCAAACAGCATGTGGAGCTGAAACCCAGGCAGAATTACTCATTGAAATTTTTAACTGCTCCTGTACTGTTTGGAGTTTACAGTAGTATATTTGAGATCAGAGTATGTCTGTAGGTACATACTATAATATTGCTTTCTTATGAAGTAGGATACCAAGAGGATTTAAGGTGTTTTTTTTTAGTGAGTTGTGATATGTGTGCAAGTTTTTCTTTGTAAGGGTGTCTGAAAACATTTACTTCTGTAGGTGCATACTATAATATTGCTTTCTTGTGAAGTAGGATACCAAGAGGATTTAAGGGTTTTTTTTTAGTGAGTTGTGATATGTGTGCAAGTTTTTCTTTGTAAGGGTGTCTGAAAACATTTACTAGCAGGATTTGGAGTTGTTGCAAAGCAAAATCCAAAGTGGCCTGTGTCCGAATAGTTATAGTTGAGGTTTTTTGGCTAGTGACTTGCTTGTGAATGTTGTTAAATTGATTACAAGATATTGGACTCTCTAAGTCTGCTGCGTTCTATGTGGAAAGCTTGATGGTAGCAGTGTTTCAGCACTGGGAAAGCAGATGTCAAAACCTGCAGTGCCAAGAAGTGAATTCCTTTAAAGGAGACCTCCTGGGAGCTCCCGACTTCATCCACTCCAGCAATTCAATGCTGTGCTACCAAAGCATGGCATTATGTTTCCCTTAAGTACTCGGGTGTTTCTCTGCTTTCCCAGCAAAATCACATAGTGCTTGCTTCTAAACAAGTACTAGCTTATGTGGAAAAATATTGACTTTCATGCTTCTCATGTGAAATTGAGGAGGAATTAGGGAAGAAATGGCTGGAAGAGGGAAATCTTGCTGGAAGTGGGAAAACAAGCATTCTGTTCTGCTTGGTTACTCATTCACAGATCTTTTAGGATTACTTTTTTTTAATATTGATCACATTGTGAATTGCCATTCTTTTTGGAATATGTTTTATTATTATAATTAAAGGCTGAGAAGGGCCTGAAGTAGATGGAGCAGTGTGACAGCTTTTCTTCTGTAAATAGGGCACTGATACAGAAGCAGTAATGGTCTCAGGTCTGCTTCACCATCCTTCTTGTAGCTTGCCTGCTTGCAGTATTTGTACTATGTGAAGTCTCTGAGATCACGTTCACTGTTGGGTTTGCTTTAGAGCATGCCAAGAGCCAAGTGGATGAGTTTTGTTATCTCCTGGGTGTACAAATATCTTGTGGCTGTTCCTGTTTCAGGGAGGTAGCTGTCAGCATGAGTGGAAGATTAATGATAGCAGTGTCACCGTGATGCTAAGACTGTGGGTTAATCGGGCTTTGTAGGTAGAGACGATCTCTTCTGGTCACTATTCACTGCTGCTATTTTAAAAATCAGTTAAACCTTTCTGGAAAATGTTTTTATAGTCCAAGCAGGAAGACATTCTTATCCTAGTGAGGACCGAGATAAATTTCCAGATACTCCTGGTTCATACATTGTCCACAGGAGTTGCTTAAAAATGATGAAAGCTTGCCTTCTTTTGATGCTTGTTAGAGATACATCTGTCCATGGGTTGCCTTAGTCAAACAGAAATCCCTGAGTTTGATACCACGACACTGTGTAAAAGAGGGGAGCGAAGAAAATCCAGCAGCTATGGCTTCAGTCTAAGTGATGGGAGACCTGTGGTTTGGTTTATTTGCTTTTTTGCTGATTGCCTGGGACTGATTTCCTAGTGCTGGTTTCAAAGTATTAACTTCAGACAACCCCAGGTAGTTCAGCTTAGGATGAGTTAGAGAACTAGTGCTAGGTGTGTGAACTTCCTGCACAATCAGGAAAGGGGCTGTGCCTTGAAAGGCTGTATTAATGCTCCTGGGCTCAGAATTAGGGACTGCCTGGGGCTAGCTGGGAGATCCTAAGCAGGAGGATTTGTGAATGCTTCTTTCTTCTTAGAGTTGAGGTGTTGGATTGAAGTCTGCCCACTGAGGCATCTCTCTCTGAGTGGATTTACCCTCCCCTAAAAGTAAGCCCTGAGAAAAGGGGAGTGAGAAAAGGAGCAAAAGCATCCTTTATCTTTTGTACTGAAACAGGAACATGGGGAGCAAAGAGTGTGTGATTTGTGGCCAGGACGAGTGCAACCAAGGGGAAGCTTCATTTTGTTGCCTGGCAATTAGCACAGACACTTGAAAAAAGAAAACCTGCCTTCCCATCCTGTTGTTTTTTATCCAATTACTGCAGAATGTGAAATGAATAAACTCTCATGGGAGGAGAGACCAGAATCATCGGGTCTTTCCTCTTTCAACTAGCTGTCCTACCCGCTGGGGCA